GCCACCTGCGGTCTGCTGCTGGCCCGGTTGCTCAGGGTCACCTGGACGCTGACGTCCTGGCCCAGGATGGACTCGGAGGCCTCCACGCTCAGCGACACGTCCTCGCCCCACTCCTTGTTCTTGTAGATGTGCGCCTTGGAGCCGTGCTTGGCCGCCGTCTCCACCGCCTTGCGCTCCGCCTCCGAGCCTGCGGGGGGCACGGGCAGGCGCCGTCTCCACCGCCTTGCGCTCCGCCTCCGAGCCTGCGGGGGGCACGGGCAGGGCTCAGCCAGGCCGGGAGGGGACCCCGGCCAGGCCTCCCCCACCAGGAGCAGCGTCCTCGTGCAAGGGTGGGTGCTTGTGTGCCTGAGCATGCACGTGTGTGCAAATGCCAGGGCGTACATGAAGGTGAGCATGCAAACAGGAATGGATGACGTTTTCAATGTGGTACGGTGAGCGTGCGAATGGGCGTGGCTGAGCGTGCAAACTGGCATGGTGAGCGTGCGAGTGGGAGTGGCTGAGTGTGCAAATGGGAGTGGCTGAGCGTGCAGACAGAAGGGGTGAATGTAGGTGTGTCAAAGCAGCCACCCAAAGCCTGCCGATGAGTGTGCGAGGGGGAGTGTGCAAAGGCAGGGAAACATGTGCAAACAGGCGTGTGCGTGCAAACATGGCAAAGCAAAACACAAGGGTGCCGCCAGGTGGAAAAGCAGAAATAGTTTCCAAACATGAAAGGACGAGAGAGGCCAAGTGCCGAACACCAAGCGTGCAAACAGAGGGGGCTGTGTGAAAGAGAGAGCGTGCAAAACTGGCAACGCAGTTACACGTGCGACGGCAACCCCCAAAGTGAGTGCACAAACGTAGGTGTGCGCCAAGGCAGAAAAGTGAACGTGCAAACACAGAGGTGCGAGGGTGCAAGCTGCAGCGGGAAGACACAAAAGTAAGTGTGAAAACGTGCAAGGGTGCACCTGGGAGTGTTGAAAGTCGGTGTGCGGGCCTCCCCGTGCGTGCATGCGACGCTGGCCAGCATGGGGCTCTCTGTCCAGCGAGCGCACCCCGGATGAGCCGTGTCCCACACGCCCGGCCCGGCCCTGCCCTGCCCCTGGAATGCCGCTCTCCGGAGCAGGCCGGGAACAGGCGCGACCGGGCGGGTTGGGTGGCAGCGATGTCTCAAGATCTTCCTGGAAACGCGCCGGCTCCGGTGCCAGGAGAGTGTCAGTCTGGGCGGGCCGGGGGCGTTTTCTCGCTCTTGTGCCACGGCCGGGCTGGTCCCAGCAAGAACCTGGGCAGCGCCCCAGCCATCGGCTGCACAATCGATAGCACACAGGGAGAGGTCAGTGGGCGTGGATGGGGGAGCGTGCAAATGGGCATGCATGAGTGAACACGTGTGCAGGAACAGAGGTGTGAGCGCAAAAGCGCATGCGCGTGCAAGCAGAAGTGCGCGTGAAAGTGCATACCCGTGTAAATAGCAGTGCAAAGAGAAGCAAGTGCACAGGTGTGGACACTGAAGCGTGCGGACGCAGAGACGGGAGCATGCCCCTCTCAATGACTTGACCACCTGCATTTTGCTACAAAGACCGTTTACATCTGCACTTGAAAGGGAATCCTCTGAACTGTCATTCATGTTAAAATTCGACACTTGCCAACAAGGACTCAACAAACACTTGAACTATCTCACCCATTACCAAGACAGCTTCCCCAATTATCACCTCTAATACCATTAACTCACAAACATCCCACTCTCCCCACCTCTAATATCATCAATTCACAGACACTTACCTTCCTTCCCCCTCCCCCCCCCCCCCACCCCCTCCTCCCCTGCCCTCAGATTTGTCCTTTTCATATTTGTTCTTTTTTTTAATTGTATCCTTTGGTATATACGGTTGTGACTACTTTCTTCCACTATTTGATCTGAGGAAGTGGGTCTGGCCCACGAAAGCTCATCATCTAATAAACCATCTTGCCCCCTCCTGTTCTGCAATGTGATTTGTCCTTTTCATATTTGTTCTTTTTTTTAATTGTATCCTTTGGTATATACGGTTGTGACTATTTTCTTCCACTATTTGATCTGAGGAAGTGGGTCTGGCCCATGAAAGCTCATCATCTAATAAACCATCTTGTTAGTCTTTAAAGTGCTACATTGTCCTGCATTTTGCCTTTGCAGGTATGAGTGTGTTTGCAGGGTGAAGCACAAGTGCAAAGGCGAGCACCCAAGTGAGCGTGCACCCATGGAGATGCAAGCGTGCAAACAGCAGGGAGTGTGCACAGGAGCAAGTGTGATTGAGCAGGCACGAGTATGCAAATGGAGACATGAGCGTGGATGGACAAGTGCACAAGAACAAGCATTTGCAAAACCCAGGCAAACAGGTGAGTGTGCAAAAGTAGTGAAAGATAAGCACACAGGAGTGTGCAAGCATGGGGATGTGAGCGTGCCAACAGGAACACGAGAGGAGGCTACCAGTGCAAAACTAGTGAGCGAGTGCAGAGAATCCAAAGCTGCCTGAGAGGGCTGCGTTTTCACAAGGCTGTGCAAATTGAGGGTGCAAGCGGGACTGGAAGCGAGGACAGGTGGGTGCCTGAGAACCGCGTGTGCAAAGGTGCACAAGTGTCTGGTGCTTCCCAGAGTGCAAGTGCACCAGAGAGCGAGCGTGTGACCCAAGTGCAAGGGTGAGCGTGCACATGCAGAAGCGGCCGGGTGACCTGGCACAAGCTGGCGTGTGCGGCGTGCGCGAAAGTGTTCCCGACCCAGCGTGCACGTGCGAGTGCCACGTCGGCGCGGTGGTGGGCGGCAGATCGGGCCGCGTGGGGTGCGGGGCCCATTCCCGCTGATGCCCAGTGCCTACCCTCGGGGTGCTTGTAGAGGTCGGTGAGGTCGTGACGCTCGTGCGAGCCCACGGCCTTGGTGCTGATCAGGTGCCCGATGGCCTTTTCCTCCACGTAGACGATCTTGAAGTTGCCGTCGGCCTGGCGCTGCCAGTACACCTTGTCGCTGTTCGGGCCGCGTGGGGTGCGGGGCCCATTCCCGCTGATGCCCAGTGCCTACCCTCGGGGTGCTTGTAGAGGTCGGTGAGGTCGTGACGCTCGTGCGAGCCCACGGCCTTGGTGCTGATCAGGTGCCCGATGGCCTTTTCCTCCACGTAGACGATCTTGAAGTTGCCGTCGGCCTGGCGCTGCCAGTACACCTTGTCGCTGTTCACCTGC